CCTCACAGAGCAGCGTCTGCCCACAGCAAGCCTTAGCCTACCACGGGCAGAGGCTGTTTCGCAGCAGCCCCCCCATCTCCTCCCCACTGCCCCAATAGAGGCGGCGGGTGGCACCACAGAGATGGTGCTGGGTGGAACCAGCTTTTAAGCTGACTCCTCCCAGTACCAGCTCTTATTTCCCTTCCCACTTTGCAGCCTCTCGGGAGGGGGGGATGGATGAGTAGTCGATACTCCAGTCGACTACCCAATAAGCATAGTTGACTAGTTGACTACTCACTAGCATCCCTAATCAACGCTGCAATAAACGGCCCACAGCCAGGGCACCGCTGGCCCAGGTCAAGTGACTCAGGCTTGCAGGACTGGGGCTGTGGGGTGGAGACCATATTTCCCTAAGCCAAATACGGTGCCTTGCGAGTTGAACAGGAACCAATCAGAATTACGCAGTGCAAATGTTCAAATTAACATCGAGGTGTCCGAGCCCTACAGGGGAGGGAGGAGGGCCAGGAGTGCATCCAGCCGCAGGAGATGGTGGCGGGGGAAGGGATGACCAGGCCTATGTCTTTGCAGAACTCATCTCCACTCCCCCACCCCCTACACCCCCTCTCCCTGTGACCGGAAGCAGCTCGTCCCTTCCTGCCTGCACAATGCTAGAAGGCAGCTAGCACCTCCAGACTGCTGCTGGCCACCAACATAACACAGCTCCTGTCCCTGGTAGAGCACAGGCAGGAAGGGGTTAAGCCCATGACCAGAGAGGTGGCTCAGCAGGAGCCGGTGCCACGGGGATGAAGCAGCCCTGTACTTCCTGGGCCAGGTGAAGAGGATGCTAAGCCCCTGCTCAGGGGACTGCTGTGAAACTTGCAGAATCAGGGCACGAAAAGCTGGAAATTGCTTCCCCCAACATCCATACCAGAGCTTAGCCGAGGGGCAGAGAGGCTGCCCCCTGCCTGTGCAGTGCAGGGCTTGGCTCCTCTTGCCCAACGCCCTGGGCGGGAGGATCTTGGCCTTCCCCAGGTCACCAGCCCAGGCACAGGCAGTGGGGGAAGGAAGGAGCCAGCCAGCCAGGCTGTTGTGAGCTGAGCGCTCTGCCCAGGAGCTGGTTCTCTGCAAAGCACCGGGAAGGGGTGTGCCCTGCAGTGAGGGAGAGGGAGAAGCGCAGGGCTGGGGGCAGGAAGGGCTGTATCCGGGAGAGGAGCACGTACAGAACTGATGAGACAGCAAGTAACTAGTCACCGCCTGCCTGCACTCCCCCGCCCCCACTGCTCACAGCAGGCAGTAGGCAAGCAGTGCCAGCCAGAAATGGGATGGGGGTTGGGCCCACCGGCTGAGAGCTGATGCTGCACTGATGGACCAGCAGGGGAAGTGGCTGACAGCTCTGTCTTGCCGCCAGCTTTGCACACGTGTTGCCACTGGACGTCCCCTCCCCTGCACTAGCTGCTGGGGTTGGGCAGCTGGCATGCAGGGATCTGGCCAGCAGCGTGACCCACAGGACTGATGCGGGGAGACAGAAAATACGCCCGTCTTTAAGCAAAATTCAGGACACCTGCAGGAAGGCTTAAATACAGGACTGTCCTTTTAGACATGGAACATCTGCTCACTGTAGCCTGTGGCTCTAAACATTGCACTGCAAATGATTGGGCTCAGCCCACGGGGGTTTGTTGCCGTGTGGACGGACCCATGCAGCCCCCAGGGGTGAGGCCTGAGACCTTGGAGGCTGTGCGTGGCATCTACTTGTGTGTTGGGCCAAGGCCATTAAGCTCCCTGAACTCGGAGGTCAAGGCTGTTACACTTCCAGAATTGCTAAGCACTGTTCATCCGTCCTTTGGTCCCCATGCTGCCCGTGGCTTTCGCTCACCATGTTACCGTCAGTCCCGGGGAGCATGCCGTACCTTATGACGACGTTGTGCGAGTCAATCACCGCCCCGAAGCCTCGGCCACGGATGGAGTTACTGTTGCCGACCACAACGCACCTTCGGCACCGAAGACTGGACAGAGTCAATGGAATGAATGTGAGGCCCTGTCCAGCCCAGTCCCCGCAGAGCAACAGCCCCCAGGACTTGTCTGGCATATTGGCGGGTCTCCCAGGACAAAGCCAGGCGTCTGCAGAGCAGAGAAAGCCTGGACCTCAGACGAGCATCAGAAGAGTCTGATGGCTCCTGCTGTGCTCAGGCCCTGCCAGTCCCACCCAGAGAGCTCATCCCTTAGCCAGCATCATTGGGATGCTGCACTCTGCTTGGCCGGATGTGGGCACTGCCCCGTGAGCGGGAGGGGGGGAGACAGAACAAAGCATCAGCATGCTAAGGAACCTGGGGATAGCATCCGCTAAGCTGACAGAGAGGGAGGGCAGCAGTGACAAGGCCACAAGGGACACTGGTGGGAAGGGAAAGCAACCCAGCGGCCAAGCACTGCCTAGAAGATGGACCATGCTTCAAAGCCAGTAGTGGGCAAGACCCACAGATTCGTGCCCGTAACTCCGTGTGCCCTGAGCCGCCCTGCGCAGCAAGGAGGTAGAAGGAGCTTCTGAGCCTGATGGTGATGGGGGAGGAGGAGAAAGAACAGGGTGTAATGGAAATTACAGGGAGGCAGCTGGGGGCTGAGGCAGCCTAGCAGGATAAGTTCAGAAGGGCCTGCAGGGAGAGAAAGAGGGCCTTGTGGGAAGTGAGGAGGGGATGCGGGGTGTCAGCAGGGTGGACGGGTGGCGGGGGAGGCGAGAATGGGACAGCTCTAATGAGCCTCAGACACAAAGGTTCCAATCAAGCTACTACATTCTTTTTTTGAGGTTTCCCCACCACGAACAGCCACCGTTGCCCCCCAACCCACCCATCAGCCCAGCCCCCTACCGCTCAATGGACTTTGGCATCTCCTGCTGCGGGAGGAGCTGCAACGTACGGAACGCATCGAGAACTGGAAGGACAGGAGAAAGAGGTGACACGGCCATCTGCCTAGGGGAGCCCCTTGTCCCAAACAGCCTGAATCGCTGTCCCCTTTGCCCTCCCTTCGCTCCATTTCCCCACTGCTCCCATGGCTTTCACTCACCAGGTCACTGTGCACATATTAGTTTGCAAACTCTTTGGGGGCAGGGATCATATTTAGCCTAGGTTTTCCATCACGCCCTCCCAAACACAAATAGTGTGGCAAAGGCTGGGAAAGTTCAGAACTAGGGTTGCAATAAGCAAAAGCTGACCAGTTAATGCTATCGACTAAACGCATCCCCCCCTCCACTAGTAATTTTTTTAGCAGGCTGGCCAGCAGCTCAGCTCAGTCCTGGGAGCTAAGACCACCCCTGGACAGGGGCTGCTGCCACCCTGCGCTGCCCTCCACCTCTCTCTGTGGCTGCGTGAGAGAGAGGCATTTCTAACAGCTAGGATACCTCACCACCCCCAGTCCCATGTGCTAACCACGAGTGCAGGGTGTGTTTGAGGAGGGTAAGACTGATACCAGAGCTGTTCAGCCCAAAGGGAAGCATGTGGAACTGGAGAAGGTTGTTTAGTTTTCTCCTCTCCGGGGTGTTGTCCTGCCAGAATAACTCCCTGCTGGTCAGGAAAGGCTTCCAGTCAGGCTCAAACCTAGCAAGAAGGAAGCACGCTGTTAGCAGCATAGCAGGGGCCAGGGAGGAGACGCCTAGCACAGCCATTCCACATGGGCTGAGCATCCAGGCTCACCTAGGCCAGCGGTTCTCAACCAGGGGTATGGAGTGGTCTTCCGGGGGTACATCAAATCATCTAGAGTATGTCTAGACTACAGGCTTTTGTCGACAGAAGTTTTGTTGACAGATACTGTCGACAAAGCTTCTGTCAACAAAGAGCGTCTAGACTACATCCAGTTCTGTCGACAAAGCAAGCCACTTTGTCGACATGAAAGTGTAGACGCAAAGGACAGCGTAGAGCAGGGGCCTGGACTTGATGACCGTCTGAGGACTTTTCCAGCTCTATGGTTCTATGATTCTACGATTCTATGTCTAAAGAGTTCATCACGAGATTTCAAAGCATTTTGCAAATACTAACAAAGGAGTTTTCTACACTAGGACATCCAGGGTACATCTAGACTACAGGCTTTTGTCGACAGAAGTTTTGTTGACAGATACTGTCGACAAAGCTTCTGTCAACAAAGAGCGTCTAGACTACATCCAGTTCTGTAGACAAAGCAAGCTGCTTTGTCAACATGAGAGTGTAGATGCAAAGGACAGTGTAGATGCAATAATGCCTTCTGTCAACAGAACTCTGTCGACAAAAGGCGTTATTCCTCATAGAATGAGGTTTACAGCCGTCGACAAAACTGCTGAGTTCTGTTGACGTTATGTCGACAGAACTCAGCAGCAGTATAGACGCAGGTATAGTTTTGTCGACAAAAGTCCCCGTTTGTCGATAAAACCCTATAGTCTAGACACACCCCTAGAGATTTGTCTAGTTTTATAACAGGCTAGATAAAAAGCACCTGTGAAGTCAGTACAAACTAACATTTCCCTAGAGATGTTTAAGTCTCAGCTTGACAAGTCTGGCTGGGTTGATTTAGTTGGGATTGGTCCTGCCTAGGGCAGGGGGCTGGACTTGATGACCTTCTAAGGTCTCTTCCAGCTCTATGGTTCTATGATTCATTCGTGGCTATACTGCTCTGTATACTATCTACTTACTATACACTATATGTAAGTGCAATATTTATATTCCAATTGATTTACTGTATAATTATACAGTACAAGTCAGAAAGCAAACAATTTTTCAGTGCTAGTGTGGCTGTGACACTTTCATATTTTTATGTCTGATTTTGCAAGCAAATAGTTTTTAAGTGAAATGAAACTTGGCGTTCACAAGACAAATCAGACTCCTGAAAGGAGTAGTCATCTCCTGGGAGTCACTGACCTAGGGTACTCACATGCTTTTCTGCTCTCTCCAAATGCTTCCAGGAATGGAGCCACGTCCCTCCCCATTAGCCCTGATTGGCTCTGCCCCACATCTCAGCCCAGCCTGCAATAGTGCAATCCTCTCTGAGCACACCACTTCCCCTTGCCTTGGCCTCCGGACATCCTGGAAATGCTGAGTCACCTTTTGATTTCTCTCGGGTAAAGGGGACGTCTGCTTCTATTTCACCACAGCTCCTTCACTGACTTCATGGCAGTGACACGACTTGCACGTTCCCCATCCTGTCTGCTGGATTCCCCACACACCGGGACTGCCCTTCTCCTGCACATCCACTGATCAGACTGTCAAACCCGCCCTCGCCAACAGGCAACAAACCAAAAGCAACTAACAAACCTGCCAAGAATGGGATTTCTCCAGGCAAAGTGCTTCCTGCAAATGTTGATGTCCTTCCTGTGAAAGAGACATGTCTCCTTTAGTCCCAGCCCTTACTGCCTTGCCATAGCCTCCTCCCTTCTAGCCCATCAGGGGCCTACTCCCAGAACTATCCTTTAGCATACCCTCCAGCTCCCTCTCCCCCACCTGCCAGGGACCCCACTGTGGGAAGCCTTCAGGGTTAGAATCGAGTCCTTCCATGATTCCCTGGTCACCCACTATTTTCCTCTCCTGTCCCATTCTTCCAGCCACACAATGCAGCCATCTCCTGGCCAGATACAACACGGCTCTCCCAAACTCCCCACGGCCCAAGCTGGGAGCGAGCAGTCTCCACTGCCCGAAGAGAGAAAGGTCCGAGCTTTCCCAGTAAGGTGTGTATCTAGCTCCTGAGCCTAATGTCACACACATCAGGGCAAGCAGACTTACTCAAAGGGAACATCATGCGCCATCTTCTTGCAGTACTGGACAACCTGCACACTGAGCACTGTTGAAGGAAACAGACACCAGACAGACACAGTGAAACAGGGGAGCAATGTCCTCAGCCTGGCAGCCAAGCCCCCCTGCCGCACAGCCTCCCAAATGCACACCAGACTGAGGCGAGTTTCAGCCACATGGCTGAAATCCTGCAGATACTGTTCCAGAGCAGGGAGCCCCTGGGGGGTTAGAGCAGAACTAGTCCCTCATTGCCAGCCAGGACTGAATGGCACTGACTGTTAATAATCCCTTCTATTTCTACAGCAACTTCCATCCCAGCCCCCGGCCCCAATGCACTTTGCAGACAGAGCCTTGCAGTACCTCACAGGGTCGGTATTATTCCTAATCACAGCACAGCGAGGTTAAGTGACTTGTCCTCGGTTAAGTGGCCACACCCTGCACAGAGTCAGCAGCAGAACTAGAGAGAGGACCCCTGAGCCCTGACTCCCAGCCCCCGGCTTTAAGTGCAGCATCCCTTGCAGGGCCTGGACCAGAACCCAGAAGTGCTGGCCCTGAGCGCCCCCACCCCCACGCGCACCGTGCACTACAGAGAGCAGCCTTGAGTTACATCCGCAACCCTGAGTGTGCCCTCTGCTGGGAAGAGCTGGCAAAGGATTTGTCTTCGCCGCGCCCTGCTCTCTCTGCCTGTCTCATCCACACAACAGGGTGTCTTAAGGCAGCTGCTGAAAAGACGGGGACACCGAGACACTGGACACATCAGGCAGACAGAGAGTGAGCCAAGATGAGTTCTAGGAGAGCGTGCAGCATTGGACAGCTGCTTCTGCCTCTACGATTCTGGCTTAGGCTTGGCTCCCTGGAGGGGTAGCTGTCTCTGCGGGGGTGTGAACCCATTCGGACTTGCTGTAAGCTCTCAGTGGCAAACAGGCGGTGCTGGAGCCCACAGGCCCAGTCTCAGATCCATGGGATTGCATGGCTCCCTCTTGTAAAAAGCTGAGCCTGGGGCCTGACAAGCATGAAGGGCGCACACAAAGGGACCTACGGAAAGTCGGAGGGCGAGACGCTGACTCCCAGGTGCCTGCCAGCCCCAATACTCCCCATCCACAATAAGCTCCAGAACAGGTGAGAGCTAATAGGGAAAGCTGCACCTCAGCCTGTGTGTTTGTAACAGGCCCTGCCATGTCCCCAGGATAGGAAATGAGCCTGCCATGCTCCTCAAGTAGCTCACAAGGATGTTGGGAAGGAACCAGAAGAACCAATGGGATACACTGCTGAAATCTGAATTGGCTGTAGATACCTGGTCTGCTCTTCCTTTGTGTGATTCTCAGTTAAGGGCTGGAGGGAGCAGATGCCGTAATCAGAATGACCATGCCTATAAGAAGTATTGGACATGCAAGTGAATGGGGACCAGGAAATATGGATCAGCGTGGATCATGAGTAAAGGGAAAAGTGTATCTAGTCACGATCCGGGCATTTTTTTCTTTATTTTGGTTGTTAAGTTTGAACTTCTCTGTGTGAACCCAGCCTTCCCTCCCCATTCACTATCTGAGGGTATGTCTACACTACAGTGCTAATTCGAACTAACTTATTTCAAATTAGTTAATTCGAAATAAGCTAATTTGAAATAACGCATCTAGACCCAAAAACTAATTCGAATTAGCATTTTGCTAATTCAAAATAGTGCATCCACACTGATTGGACGCTGGGTCACATTTAAGGGCAGCTGAAACTGGTTCCAGCAGGGCATCAGGTCAGTAGTTGCTTTGTGTGGCTGCTGTCTGAGGCTATCTGAGGCTCATGCTTAAAGAACCCCCCCTAGACAGCCGGTTCTCAGCTTTTTCGTTTGCTTGCCTACCTCGCTGAGGTAAAGCGTTACCCTCTCTGCCGTCGGTGGTTCCCATTGGGGATGCCGCCGCAGTTGGCACCATGGAGCCAGAGCTCGCCCTGGGCATTCTGCTCCAGTTTTTGGACTTGCTGCTGCAAGTCTGCCAGCATCATCTGGTTCACATCAGCCCCCTGCCCCTCCCCCTGGCCTCCCTGGGGGCCGTGGAGGAGCCGCAGCAGCACCCGGATGCCAGCGTGCCCCGCCGCATCTGGCGTGTGGACACCAGCAGCGACTGGTGGGACCGCATCGTCCTGGAGCGCTGGGGAGACCAACAGTGGACCCAGAACTTCAGGATGAAGAAGGACACCTTCCTGGAGCTCTGCGAGTGGCTCACCCCTGCTCTGCGGTGCTGGGACACTCGCATGATGCCCGCCATCCCCCTCCAGAAGCATGTGGCCATCGCCCTGTGGAAGCTCTCCACCCCAGACAGCTACCGATCCATCGGGAACCAGTTCAGCGTGGAGAGATCCACCATCAGAGCAGTGCTCATGCAGGTATGACACTCCCCGGCCACTGGGCTGGGAGAGCGGGGGGGCTGCCCCAGGGAAAACGGGGGTGGGGGGATGAAAGGCAAAAGTGCCCCGCATGGGAGAGTTCGGTCTGTCCTGGCCGTACTACACGCCGCCTGCGGTGGCCAGGATCGCAGCGGGGGTTGCTTCCAGGAGTGGGAGCAGTGCAAGGGAACGAACACTCCCAGCCACCCGGGCACTCCAGTGATTTGCAGTTTGGTGTGCCTCTCTGCAGGTGGTCAAGGCCATCAACAGTGTGCTGCTCCACAGGGTGGTCCGCCTCACCGAGGGTTCGGCCCCCTCGGCTTCCCCAACTGCAGGGGGGCCATCAACGGGATGCACATCCCCATCCGTGCCATGGAACGCCAGGCCTCCCAGTATATCAACCACAAGAGTTACTTCTCCGTCATCCTGCAGGCCGTGTCTGACCACCGGGACCAGTTCACGGACATTAATGTGGGCTGATCCGGCAAGGCACATGACGCCAGGGTGTTCCGGAACTCCTCCGTGTGCCGGAGGCTGCACGCCTGAATCTTCTTCCCCGACCACCACATCAGGGTTGGGGACGGGGACATGCCCATGTGGTGGGGGATGCGGTCTACCCCCTACAGCCCTAGCTAATGAAGCCCTACATGGGACACCTCAACCCCCCCTGGCAGGCCTTCAATGCCAGGCTCACCAGGGCCCCCATCGTGGTGGAGGGGGCCTTCGGACACCTGGAAGCCCGATTCCGATGCCTCCTTACCCGCCTCGACCTCGCCAAGCACAATATCCCTCCTGTGGTGGCAGCATGTCGTGTGCTGCACAATTTGTGTGAGAGGAAGGGGGAGGCTTTCCTGCCAGTCTGGATGGCTGAGGCTAAGCGCATGGCTGGCCACTACGCTCAGCCCCGCAGCGTCGCCATCCGGGAGGCCCAGCGGGGGTCCATCCAGATCTAGGAAGCCCTCTGGGAGAGCTTCCATGTGGATGAGGACTAAACTCTCCCTGCATACCCCACTGGGGCCTTCTTGCACCCTCACCTCCTTCCTCTTTCCCCTCCCTAACCCCCCTTCCTAATGTCAAATAGAGACACCTGTTTTGACAACAAAAATCTCTTTTATTTTACGTAACTGGGTGGGGGGAGGGAGGAATAAGGGTGAGAGAGGGGGGAGGTGGAAGGGGGAGGAAGGGAAGGGAAAGCTCAGGGTTGGGGTCTTGCTGGCTCTCCTGTCTCGCAGCACTGCGGATGCGGGGGCATTGCGGGGGAGTGGGTGTGGAGGGTCGGGCAGGAGGCACGGGGGGCGAGGCAGAGGAAGTGGGAGGGGGAACAGGGGTAGAAGGAGGAGCAAGAGCTGGGGCAGCCGCAGGGGCTGGAGCAGGAGGAGGCAGGAACCTGTCCACCAGGGTCTGGAGGTGACCTCAGAGGGTATGGCCCTGATTCTCCAGCGCCTCCAAGCTCTGCTGCTGCAGCCGCAGGTCCTCCCGGACCCAGTGCTCCTGGGTGCGGAGCTGGTGCGCCAGTAGCTGCAGGTGCCGCTGCTGGTACTCCACCTAGTTGTGGGAGTGCCTGCTGGCCCTGCAGTTCCAGGTGCTGCGGCTGTGCTGAAACAAGAGCAGTGGTCAGTTCTCCCTGGGGACACAGTGGGTGAAACCCACCCCCCTTTGCAAGACAAGGTCGACATGTGGGGAACGGGCCAGGACCCCTGCATGACACCCAGCTGCTGCTCCATGATGGGCAAGGCCCAGGCGCACGGTCCCTGGGCTCCCTCTCCACACACACACCCCCATACACATAAGGGGACCATGATGGCACTCACATGTGGAGTCCTCCCCGGCCTCAGACGACACAGCAGATGTGCTCTGTGGGATGACTCGGGGGGGTCCTGGGTAGGCTCTTTGCAGGCTCCTGGCTCTCGGTGTCCTCCTCTTCCTCTGTTTCTGCCTCAGGGTCGACCACCACCCGGGGGGCATGGACTGTGTGAGCCCCCAGGATGCTGTCCAGGGCCTCAAAGTGAGGGCAGGCTTCTGGGTCGGCCCCTGGTTGGAAGGCCCTGGAGTAGGCCTGCTACAGGTCCTTTATTTTGTAGCGGACCTGCTCCTGGGTCTGCATGTGGCCTCTGGTGGCCAGGTTGGGAGCCATGCAGCTGTAGACTGCCGCGTATCTGTGCCTAGTGCAGAGATCGTGGACATTGGAGGCCTCCCCACCTCTTGTGGCCCCAGGCAGGCTCCTGGGAGCTCCCAGCCTGGTCCTGAGAAGAGGTGGAGGGCTGGGTGGCAGCGGGTGGCTGGCTCATCCTGTGCCAAGTGCAGGGTCTGCTGGCTGGATGCTGGCAGGCTTGCAACTGGCACAGGCACCGTGGGCAGACCGTTCCCTTTTAAGGGCTCCGGGGCTGGGAGTGGGACAGAAGAGTTTTCCTGGTTTGGCTCAGAGTGGCCACCAGGGCAACCTGGGAAGGGCTAGCCTCCAGCTAGTTTGAATTAAGTGGCTACACCGCCCTTAATTCGAACTACTTAATTCGAACTAGGTGTTACTCCTCGTAGAAAGAGGTTTACCTAGTTCGAATTAAGCGCTCCGCTATTTGGAATTAAATTTGAAACAGCGGTTTGCATGTATAGCCACTATTAAAGTTAATTCAAACTAATGGCTGTTAGTTTGAATTAACTTTGTAGTGTAGACATACCCTGAGATTTGCCACAGAGATTTTCTCTGTATTTTAAATTTGTTTTACTTAGTTGCTCTGTAACAGGTAACTATCAAGTATGTGTTATCAAGTAGATATTTTGTTTTCTTAATAAAATCACCTTTCTAAGATGATGATTTGATTCTTGTGTCCTGGAAAGGAACAGGGGCTCTGTGTTTATGTGTCTGCCTGCCTAGCCTGAGCAGTCAGCAACCAAAGACGGCAGCTTGGTTTTCTCCCCCCACCCCAAGCTCTTTAGGGTACCTCTGGGGGTGGAATTTAAGTGTTCCCCCTATTTTCTTTTTACAGTAAATCACTTGATGGTGGCAGCTTCTCTCTCTCTCTCTCTCTCTCTCTCTCTCTCTCTCTCAGAGCCTGTGCATCTGTGACACTGGGGAGAATTTGCATACAGAGCCTAGAGAGGCAAGGTAGTCTAGGTTTCTTGTGGGCCCCCATCTACTGCATTTGGAATGCCAGATTGGGGATCAGCCCGGACACCAAGCAACATGTCCTCCACAACAGAACCCCCCCCCCCCGCACACACACACACACGGCAGTTGGCAAGGGGAACTGTGAAACACAGGCAAAGACATCAGGGAAAAGGCCTAGTGGACATGGTCCATGGTCATGGGCCGGGCCTCACTGTTTGCTCGTGGTGGCCAAGAGTCAGTTGCATTTGGATAGAGGGTAGCAAAGACACTAAGGCCATTTCTGGAGGAGGTCGTCTGGAGTGACTGTTACATCAGCTCAGTGGCCTAGCACAGGTGTTCTTCAGCTAATATGCCGAATCTGGAGGAACTGGTGCCCAGATTTACCCACCCAAGGCCTGATTTCCAGGAGAACGGCTGAAGTCCACTGGGAAGGTACCAGGATATCACAGAGGCTACTAAAGTGATGAACACAGAAGGAAAACAAGAACACACCACTGAGACACAGGCTTGAAAGGGAGGGGGGAGTATTGCACCAAAACCCAGAGGCCTTTTGGGGAAAACTTGTCTGAAAGTGCATGTGTGTCACCACCCTGACTCTCATGACATGGGAAATCCACAAGAAAAATACAAATGAAATCCTGGTTCGGTGGAAGTCAATGCGAGTTTTGTCATTGATTTCCGTGAGGAAGCTAGGATTTCACCCTCGACCTTCACTGATCTTACATGTAAAAACATCTACATTTTTGACAACACAGCCAGCCTTCTGTCAAGCAAAATCCCTCCAGGAATCTTTACCAAGCTAGCCGTGTATCGTCTCCAAATGAATCAAGTGAAATATTGATTTTCAGATTTAAAAGCTATTAGTTGACATACTTTTGACTGTAAAACAAAGGATTTTATTTTGACTTTTCTCATAATGCCCCTTGCCAAACATCACAATAGTCATCCAACCACTGTGCACTGCTTTCAAACTTAGGGTCTGATGGTTGCATTTTTAGCAATGATTTTCCAAAGACAAACCTTCTAATTAAAATAGGACTGCCTCACTTTGTGGAACGGGTTCCCAAGCACCAGTCCCCTGGTGGATTCCATTGGCCCACCCACCCATCTAGTAGGGTGACCAGATGTCCCAATTTTTTAGGGACAGACCTCATAGTTGGGGCTTTTACGCCCATTACCACCCCACTCCTGTCCTGATTTTTCACACTTTTATCTAGTCACCCTACCATCCACCCACACACACACACACACACACACACACACACACACACACACACACTCCAACCCATCCAGCAGAAAGCTCCTCATAAGTACAGGTCTCCACTGAACAGGGATCATGGCTACTGCACAGTCTAAGCTGCAGTTTTCAGGTGCTCACAATTTTGAAAAAAGTTACAGCTTGGACTAAAATTATCCACATTCTTTCACAGCACAAAAGCAAACATTTTGGGAGGAAGGGAGAACACGGTGAAATTCCACCTGATTGTTTTGCAGTAAGTGTGGGAAACAATACAAGAGGTTTTCACATTTAAAAAAACAACACAGAAGCTATTCTTTCCCACCGCTCAGGCAAATACAGTTAAAGTGACTCAATTTTCTAAAAATAGCCTAGATCCAACTACATACATAGTCCTACCCAAGAGCTGCTGTATTACTAGGCACCTGATGATTGCAATGCAAAGGATTACTACCAGGAGTGATGGTTACTACTGGGTGTAGCTCCGCTGTCACTGACTGCAGTAGTAAATGCTAGGAAGTCTTCGCAAGATGGGCTGCTTGGTTTGGAAAAGAACGACTGGCTGAGAAATATGCTGTTGTGGCCGAGCTGCTGTGCAGGTGAAAACTTGACTGCAGGTTGTGCCTCCCTACACCAGAACCACGGATGTTCCCGGACCACAATGCCCAGGAACAGGGAGGTCTGGCCGTGGGGCAGGAGCACGGTGGGGGGTGACCAGCAACTCAGTCAGGAGCCCCATGTCGGGGGGGGAGGACAGGGTGGCAAGGCAGAGAGTTCTAGCCGCAGTGGCCAGGGAGCTCGGACCCCAGCGGCAGCCAGGGAACTCTAGCTCTGGCCCTGGCCCCAGCTGTGAAACTCCAGCCCCAGCGGCAGAGGTCTGGCCACAGCCCTGCTCTGGTTCCAGCAGCCGGGAAGCTCTAGCCCCAGCAGCAGCCAGGGAGCTCTGACCCAGCCCTCTGGCCCCGGCAGCAGCTAACTCCCGAGGGGACTGGGGCATGAGTGGGAGCAGGCTGGAGCCCTAGCTTGGGGGCAGTGGGGCAGCATGGGCCATGAAAGGAGGGGACTCCTCTGGTCTGGCAAATCCCCTCATTCAGGACTGGTCAGGTCCTGAGGGTGCCAGACCAAGGAGGTCCAACCTGTAGCTGCACGGCAGGGCCACACTGCTGAGCTCTCTCGTGCTGGGCACCCAGACCGACCCGTGCACGGGGACCCCTGCAGCCACAGGGAGAAGTAGTGGGACTGAATGTTCCGCAGCGTGGATGTGGGCTGCACACTCCAGCCCATGGCCCAGACCCTGGCTAAGCCCTGCCCAGTTCTCCACATAGTCATTCCCATCACACCTCTCCTGTGACCATCCCCGTCACTCACCTCCCTCATCCCTTCTGGCCCTTTGCCACCCTCCTGTCTACTGAAAATGCAAGCTCTTCAGGGCACGGGCTGTCAATCACTATATAGAGCAGTGGGGCTTTGCTCCTGGTGACCACATGCAAATAACAAGCGGGGCAGGGCACGGGGTGTCAGGACTCAGTGTCAGATCAAGCTCTCTTACCCACACTCAGCAGAAGCCTCAGCACTCTCCACAGCTTCCTGAGAAAGACGAAGATGAATCTGCACTGCAATTTGGAGCACACCAGCCCCTCAAGGTTCATATCGGCAGCTCCTACCTTCCCTGCCTGCAAAGGCACAAAGAAAACCAACAGAGAAGACCCATCAATTCATCGCTCAAAAAAATTGGTGAAGCGTGACATTAGACTTTGCACTCAGCGGTTGGCAGGGATACTTCTCAAGGAAACATGGGACAGCTGCCTGCGCGCCCTGGCCATGCTGGCCCGGCATTCCAGGTAATGGGTGTGTCTAGCTCCGCTGGCCTCTGGGACACACCTTACTCGGCTTTATCCCCTGCTGCAATCCCCAAGGAAATGGAAGAAAGGCTGGGCCGAAAGACTCATCCTCCTCCCTTTTGCTTTGTGCTGTTCCACACATGATAGGGAAAGGGAAGGCAGATTGGGAGGGGACGTTGCTTTTAAGAGCTACCCTAAAATGCCACAGTGGAAGAGAAAGTCACCAACAAGCATTATCTAAACCCCGCCAACGGCTGAATTTTTCTCTCTGTTGCCCTAAAGTTAGCTCCTCCGACAATAATACTAATTCCATCCAAAGCGCAGAGAGCATGGCGCCTCGGCCTGTAAAGCAACGCAGCCCAGTGAGCAATCCCGGCAAGCCGCAGTTTGCAGGTTCAGGCCTCGGAGCTTGACTGACAGCCTTAATTATACAGGGACAGCGAAGCGGCTCAGGCAGACACGCACGCGCTCGGGTTGGTAAAGCAGGGATAATGCACTCCCTCTCTTTGAGGGACCGCGCAGGAAGGAAGAGCGCTGCTTCCCCATCTGACGCCGATCACCTAATTAGCCCCGCTGAGCAGGTGATACAAACTCAAGCGCAGCAGGAGAAGGCGGCCTCTATCCATCCCCCCCGCGGCGACTGGAACGGGGCCTCACGAGGCTGATTATCTGAGGTAAAACCAGTTCTTCCCACGCTGCCCAGTGGCCAACCAAAAGACTCTTCAATTGTCGCACCTGCCGCTCTCCCAGGCCACAATGGGGGCACTAGCCACCTTTTCTGGTGGCAACCTTAGGAGCGAGGACACAGGTGCACCTCCTCCCCGGGGAGCCTGGGGCGCTCCCTGCAGTAGGGGAGTTCTGACTCTCAGCCTCTTGCACTTCTCCTGCCAATGGGGCTTCAGTCTGGCCCAGGTGCAGAGGGGTGTGTGCTCTGGAAGGCGTCGAGCTAACAGTTTCAGGGAAGGAATGTTACATGCCTCCTTGCCTGGAGCCTGCACAGTATTGCAGCAGGGGGATGGGCAAGCAGCCCCCACTAATTGATCTGAGTTGTGCCTCTTGGCTTCAGCTAAGATTGCTCTGAACGCCATGAAGATGGAGCATCTGTTTCGTTATTGCTCAGTCACGGATCAACGTTGCTCATTTAAACAAACAAAGGAGAATTAAGGGGGCGGAGGGGAATCAACCCGCCAAACAGGGTTTTCCCTTCTTCTGTAACATCCCCAAGGGCTGCAGACCAGACCGGTTGTCACTGACCTCAAATGAGGCTCCTGATGACACCTGACCAGTGCCAGCACCTGCATGGGTTTGCTGAGAAGCTCCCAGGTCTCTCAATGTGGCACAGACTGGACTCGTCTCCATCTCCCGCGCCTGCAGCCTTCTGCAAGATGAAGCAGAAGGAGGAGTAGCGGAATCGTACCTCTCTGTCTCGACAGCAAGCAGGCATAAGGCTGAGTAAGGAGGAGCCTTTGGCCCTTCACCTTCTCACTCCACCACAGCCACCTCTCAGAGCAGCCTCTGTCCCTCAGGTCTAGCTACAACAGAGCCCTGACTCTCCTCACGCCAGAACTGTCTCAGGCACTCCGATCCTGCAGGCCAGGCGCCTCCTTGCTGGGATCCAGATATCGCTATGATCTATAGCTTGTGTGCAAAGAGCCTTTGTGCTAGGAGAGCTGGGTCCTTTAGTTCAAGCAGCAGAGACTCGAGCTTCTCAAGACACATCCCAGGTTCAACGCCCTCCAAGGAAGTTAAGTTGCACAATGCACCATGAGACTCGCTAGATCAGGGGCTCCTCCTGAAAATACTCCTGGTGCTCAGCCAGTGATGGGGAGGGAAGGGGAAGCTGGTGAGATTCAGAGTTGGTGGAAATATCTTTCAACCGTCTTGTATCTTGCATGTGCAGTAGTTTCCTGGTTCCAGGATCTCAGAGTAGCTAGTCAGGCTGGAAGAGAATATTAGCGCAGAAGAGGAAAATGATACCTAGAGGGACAACAGGACTCAGACTCTGCCAAGATGGGATTAACTGTCCGGCTCAGCATGGATGGTGTATGCCCCAAGCTTTCTGTACAGGGTGCATCTACACTGCAGCTGGGAGGTGAAATTCCCTGCTCATGCAGCTGTACGGGTAACAAGTGAAAATCACCAAGGCATCTGCAGTGGTGGGATGAGCTGCTGCTTGAGCATAAACCCACCCAAACCATAGGTACTCAGGCAGCCAGCCTGGCCATGCACCTGCACCACTGACTGTATCATAGCAAGGGCGTCTGTCCCCCCGCGATGCGGATTGTGGTTACCAGGCGTCCAGTTTTGAACCAGACAGTCCGTTATTTGAGCTTTCTGTCCGGGAAACAAATTGAGAAAATACCGGACATATATATGTCCAGTATTTTCTAATTAAGTAAGTTTTATTATTATTATGAGTATCAGTATTGCGTACTGCCTGGCTGGTAGACACGCTCACGCTGCATGAGCATGTCTACCAGCCAGGTAGTAAGTAGCTACACAGTGGAGGGAGAGCGGGGGGCGACGGAATCCCCGGGGCCGGACTCGCCTGTGCGTCCTGCCGGGACCGTGTGTGGGACTGGCAGCACCCCAGGATCTGCGTGCACCTGGGTCAGCCCTGCTCCCCCCCCGCCCCGGTGGCGGGGGGCAGCCCCCACCTGCCTGTCCAGTTCCCATCCACGTGCTGTGAGAAGAACCCAGCGGGGGAGAGGGGCTGACCCAGGGGAAGGGTCTGGAAACCCCAGCTGTTCTCTCCCCCAGAGAGTGACCTGGACCACAAAGCCAGCACTCTCTGTACCGGCCTGGTGAGTAGGATTACCAGATGGGTTTTAAAAAAATACCAGATACCAGCCCCCACCTGCCTGTCCAGTTCCCATCCACGTGCTGTGAGAAGAACCCAGCGGGGGAGAGGGGCTGACCCAGGGGAAGGGTCTGGAAACCCCAGCTGTTCTCTCCCCCAGAGAGTGACCTGGACCACAAAGCCAGCACTCTCTGTACCGGCCTGGTGAGTAGGATTACCAGATGGGTTTTAAAAAAATACCAGATACGTGTGATCTCAGAATGGGGGGATGGGACTGGCCGGGAGGGGAGTGGGGCTGACCGGGGGAGATCGGAGGGCGGCGGGAGGAGGGGGAAGAGGGGACCAGCTGGCGGGAAGCAGGGCTGGCCGAGAGGGGGTTGGCGGGAATGGGGCTGGGGGGGGGAACTGGACAGGCGGGTGGGGGTTGCCCACGGCAACGTGGCCATGGCTGATGGAAGATGATCGGTCACTTGCGTGACTGGGAGGCAGTACCATCGCCCACCCTACATATTCCCCACTGATTATTAATAGTCGCAGGACAGCTCCAGCCCTGGATCAGGGCCTCCCGGTGTTAGGTGCTGTACAACCCAGGACAAAGACCGTCCCTTCCCCAAGAGATTTACAATCGAAGTCTCTGCTAGCTGGGATGCTTTGCACCCAAAGTGATTCCTCGCTCTTCTGTGCTGCAGGCAGCTCCTGACAGGATTCAGGACTAGCTGTTTTCATCTCCGTCAAGCCAAAGCCCCTCTCTTTCCTCCTCCCCACGCTGACCAGTTTTGCTGCCATTTTGGTTTGGGGAGAACTTTCCAGCAATGCCGTGCCCCGAGCAGAACACACCATTCCCCAGTCTCAGCAGAAAGGGGCCAGTGAATCACAGCCTCAGAGAAGGACTAACTCAGCCGTGCCTCTGTGGCTCAAAGCCTTATTGAGCTCTCTAGCAATGCGGTCCGGCAGTAGACTCAATGCTCAGTCCCACACCCGGTGACTTCAACACATCTATGGTTCCCCAGCACGTAGAGGTCAGACAGGTCAAGAAGTCTGTCCTCGCTTCAGAGCAACTGAGCTCCATAGCTCTCAAGAACCTATGTGTTCAGCAGAGGCTGCTTCCTAGTAGTTAGCAAAACAATTTAAAAAAAAATCAAGCAAGCTACCGCTGCCTGGGGAAAAGCCTGTCCCTTTCTCCATCGCTCCACCAGCAGGTGCTAGGCCCAGGTTTATTTTCATAGAGGCTTTTTCATTTTTGTTTGTTTCCTCTCTGTTAATTAAAGTATTTGTTGCCACAGCAGGAAATGTAAACTGTACAGCAGCCAACTTATATATATATATATTTTTAAAAGGGAGAAATAATTTAGCAAAGCAATTATCTTCACACACACACCGAAGGCACCTCCTACCCTCACCCCAGAAACCACCGCAACCCAGAACAAAAGAACTGTCCCTTTAAGAAAAAAAAAACTTTAAAAATTCCATGCATATGGATAGAGGATCAGATTCTGCAGAGCTCAGTTGTTCCCACCTAGGCCTCAAAAAAGTGGCCCATTTCCCCAAGAGTCTGGTGATTGGTTAGTGCCCAGGAAAGCTGGGCAATGTTGGGGGTGGGGGGTGAGGGGAGAAACACTTTTTTGGCAAACAATGCAGATTGGGTGGCCCACCCTGAATATTTTGCAAATTCACGTCGATTTTGCCAAATTATTCATGGAGGGGAAAACATTCCAAAAAGGCAGTTGAAATGTTTTGGATTGTTGTTTCCCTTTTTGTTTTGCTACTTCCTTCAATTTTATTTTAAAAAATTCAAAAGGCTCCCAGTGCCGGAATGCAGCTGTCACCCCATTTCCCCCCCATCCCACAGGCCTTGAGTGGCTCACCCATGGCAGCGCCTGGCAAGTCTCTGTGCCAATCCCAGCACACTGAGGGCTACAGCCCACAACTGTCAGCCCTTATTTTTGAGTATTTTCTTTCTTCCCTGCCTGCAGCTGCCACTAGGCAGCAGCACTCCCTATGTATTAAAGCTGGGCAAATGATTTAAAGTATG